AAAAAAAAAAACTGAAATTTCATCCTAATTGAAACGAGTTTACCTTAGCAAGCTTCGTAACCATACCAATGGATGTCTTGCGAATATTATCAACTCTACTCATTATGCCTTCTGTTAGCAGCAAAGGCAAAAGTATAGCCATTGTTTGTCTTGCCTCTGCAACCGGGGTAAGAGAGACGTCACACAACCTCCCACTTAATGATACCAAAGCACGGCATAACCTGTCACCAGCATTTCTGACAGTTTCCTTTATGTCGTCCATTGCCCGAAAAGCAGCTACCCATATTCTTTTCAAATGCTTCTCAACCTATGACAAGATAGCAAATAACAGTCCTTGAGAGACCAGGCACTCCATGCCCCTTATACCATGGGAGACTTCAAGCCCACTAAAAGTAATATGTGTAAGTTATGGCCATCTTGTGCGTAACGATAAAAACTTCAATGAAGCTAATTTCATTCAAATATATCAATAACTTTATGTAACTAGAATTGTGGTCAGAGGGCTAGGTAATTCCAGTAACTTGCAACATCCATTACATTGTAAAGCAAGGAAGGGGAAAATAGTAAATTACTAAACGCTCTTTTATGGACATAATATAATTATCTAAAAAACATCTTTGTATTAATTTCCATCAGACACGTGTCATGGTATTCCATACCATAAAATGGTACAAGTAGACAACTGTCAGTTTAAGTTTCTAATTTCTATAGGGTTATTTTTTATAATCTAATCAGAACTTTGACGTGGAAACCATAATCATCGTCCGCTTCAAGTGTCTAGTATATTTATTTATATTCCTTTTAACCTGGCCAAATTTGCGTCCTTGAAGTATATCGGCAAGGGCAAGACATGACGCCTCTCTGGAGCGCCAAAGCCTAGATCCAGATTGTGCCAAGAGATCATCAAATATGAGGTCCAAATGTTCATCAATGGTCTTCTTTGAATCTGCTATCAATGATTTCCAAATGTGCGCCATTGCATCCTGATGCAATGCCAAAATCAAATTGAAAACAATCAGAGGAAAATCAAATAACGTAGTGCAAAGGATCTCATGTGGCCCACACACGCAGAGAAAAGAAGAAGAAGAAGAAAACAAACAATCCAAGGTTCTAGATTCACAGGCCAAGAAGAATTTGTAGGAAGAAGCTTTTGAAGTCAAAATAGAGATCAGATAATGTTCAGCAACTTGAATTGCCGCTAGGCTCTATGCAGAGTACCGAGAGATCTTACCTGCACATTTTTATCAGGATCATATTGATAGCGAACAAGTCTTGGAACCAACGCACGGATATAAGGTTGTAGAGCATCCCCTGCATGCTTGGCTATTTTAGAAAAACCAAAAGCAGCACCTCTTTTTGAATTTAGAGATGCCTGATAATTGGCTAAATCCATGAATTTGTAAATTAAATCAGGTTGCCCCATCTCATTAGCAAGACTGCAGAGCTCCTTGTACGTGCTCAATTTTCCTCCACTAGGACTTTCACCAAAGGCACCCTCTTGGAATACTTCAGAATCCTCAACCAGCTGATATATCATCCAAGAAGAAACATATTAAGAACACAGAGAGAAAATTATATGTGAAAAGTATGACATCAACAGAATGATTTCTAAAACCATAAGTTCTGACCTTAACTGCCCTTTTCCTCTTCCCAGATCCAGTTAGAGTACCAACAAGTGCATTAACCAAACTTTTCTTCGTAGCATCATCACCAAGTTCATAAACAATACTGAGGCCTTGAGATGCCAACTCTTGTGTAAGTTCATTTTGTTCACCAATGAGGTGTGAGAACGCTTCCTGTATCACAAGAATACCACTTTTAGTAACTTTTAAACACAAATTAAGTTCATTCTTATATTTTAACATTTAGCAGCCAAAAGAATATGTTATGAAGTCTCTATAAGTTGAGAATTATAGCTTATGAACAAACATTTCCTCTATCTTAGTACATAAAATGTTTCTAGTTAGGTTGCATTCGGATGTAAGGAATTCTATATAAGGTTTCAAGTTACAACAATAAATTCATTCAGATTGTTCGGATGATCTCACACAATAATTCATTTCAAATTTCTAATGTCCTATAGTCAGCTAATTTTCACTATTGTAGAGGATTTAATCTTTCTTAAATGGAATCGTTTGAAATCCTTTCCTCTAATCTTCCCTTCCAACCCAAAATTTCATCAACCTGAAACATTTCTGATCAACCTCAAAGTAAAAGGGGAAAAATGAATGATCATATCTGACGAAAAATCTCAAGTAATTAAAGATTCTCAGAAATGCCTGATCCTTTTCCCAACATGATGAAAGTGTCCGTATTGGAAATTTTATCTTTGGGGCTAAACACTAATACTGTAAGATAAGTAGATAACAACAACATCAAAACCCCAAGATTGTGTCATTTCAGGAAAGTGCAACTACACACTAACTGAGAAGTCAGAATATACAAGAATGGAAAACAAACTCCATGAGAAGCAGTCCACACGCAAAAAGACAGCCAAGAAGTGGGAGCAAGCTCACCACCTCCAGACATAGACAACATTACAAACATAGGTGAGGATCTTAATTATGTAAACTGAAATACAACACAACCCACATCCAATATAGGCATCAGAAAGAACAAACTAAGCAATAATGAGACTATGACTATACAGAACAAAAGTTTATACAGAAAATTGTTACTCAAATTGTCTTGTAAAAAATTCTTACACTTCAATTAAAGCATTTCAGATGCATTTCTTACAATCCTTGATTTGCATCGAGACATTTGAATGTTTTGCACAAAAAATGGAATCATACACCAATTAACACTCCACACATAACTGTATACGCACAAACCTGGATGTCTGGAAGCAATTTCTGGATGCTTGCATGGTGGCCACAATATATTGTAAGTGAGAGTAACCAGACAGTCCCAGCACAACGCTCCTCTTTTCTTGTACTGTATAATAGGGCATCAAATAGTTTCCTGGTAATAGCATCTCTAACTGTAGCATGATAATCTTCAACATTTTGGCCAATTGACGGTAGCCTAGGTAGACATGAGGACGTGTCTCCCATTAAAAAGTTGGAACTCATAGACAGAGAAGAATAATTAGTTCTTAGTATCAAATCAGCAGTGACAGGAACACCTCCCCATAAAAATGAAAGAGCCTCCCCAGCTGCAAATAAGATGTCCTCAACCTGTCCAAAATTTTCCAGTCAGCAGGGCTTAAAACTAAATGGAAAGCTTGGAAGGGGATATAGTATAACAATGACAATAAGTGTATGAAATGTCAAAGCAATTTCACTCACCTTTGAACGGCAAAGGCTGAAAATCAAATCAAGAGCAACATTTAGATGTGAAAGAGATGATTCTTTAACACACATGTGTCCCAATGCGATAACAGTTTTTTGGACTGCTTTGATATCATCACCAGAGAGCAGCTTGCTCAATCTCTCATGTAAGAGGGTCCAAGTGGAAACTACAGGTTAAAATAAGAAGAATGGTATTCTCGTTACATTTGTAGACACGCGTACACCGTCAGTAGCAAACAAAACAAATAACAATCTTGTATAATCGATCAAGACATATCGTTTCACCTGCAGTAGAATCAACAAGCAGTGGAGGCAGTGGTATGCAGATTCCAATATGACCCAGGGCTTGCATTCCCACGGAGGCTAATGTGGCTGATTCTTTATTAATGACGGCAATCAAACATTGCAAAACACTTTGAAGCACGGACTCTGAAATCTGGTGAAAACAGAAATGGATAAAAACTCAACTTCTCCCCATGAAAAGAACAAATGCAGAAATTCCGTAAGAGAAAAAAGTAACCATACTCGAGAAACTACTTATTGTATCCCACATAGCAAATGCGGATGTCAAAGAAATCTCCATGTAGTTTCAGATTTATAATTTTAGACTTCCCAGGTTTAAACATCCCTAACACAATACCACATTTTATATGGTTTACATGTACAACCTCCTCGGCAAGAATGAACCAAGCTAACTGAACAATCTATTACATGTGCTTTTCTCGGATATTCCCCTCATTGAAGGAATTCCGCATGTTCTGATCTTAACCTCTGCCGGATTCATGTCTTTAAAAATGCCATCTACTAGGAAAATATGTAATAAACACGAAGAAAAAAATATAACTTACAGGAGGAGAATTCATCACACAATTTGCTGTAACATATCCTAAAGCACATAGCAGCCCATGTTGTGCTTCAAATCTACATTGTAGGGAAAGGTTAGCCAATCCATTGATTACTGGAAAAATAAAACTACCACTGTAAGTGCAAGACAATAACAGAACCTCAATTTTGTCATTCCACTAACTGAAGAAACTATTTCACCAATAACTTCAGATGAAGAGGAGACGGGAAGGGCAGAGGAAGCAATGCCAAGTAAACGTGCCATAGCTTCGCGTGTATCAGAGTCCAAATGAGTCAGATACTGTTTAATCCATAGAACTTTTTCGGCATAGCGAGAGGCGATCATCTTTCAGCCAGAAAAAAGTAATCACAGAGCAGTTTTTCTATTTATTATGGTATGCAAATTCAAGAAAATGACTAGAAATATGGTGACATGTATTTCTATAGCATGAACTTCATTAAAACCTACCTGCGGAAATTGAGATCCCAAAGTAATTAGTGCTTTAGACGCTGACGCATGCAGCTCAACAGAACCTTCGTATGCCATACCATGTTCCAACAGTAAACACAACCTTTCAACTGAGAGTAAAAACTCAGAGTTCTCAGTGATGTTATTTTGTGCGACTTCTGCCTCAAAGCACTTCAACAAAAATTTGATCATAGCCACATAAGTCTTAGACGGGAAAAGAAGATTTGTATCTCCTATCCCACCAAATTCAAGGATAGCAGGCCGCTTCTCTAGAATATAATCCAGCATCTCTGAGAGTTTAGGGTACTCGGGAGAAGAACTTCGGGACAGATTCCTGCTCTGATCTTCACCAGGAAACAAACCTTCCGACGCCATCTCCCTAAGCCAAGTAAAGAACTATTTACCTCAAGAAAATAATTTAAAGCTAATAAATCTTCACCTGAAAACAAACAGCAATAACAATTTTTGCTGACTCAAGAAGCTGATAAAATAAACTAGTGTGTATAAAAATCATCGTCTGTCTTTCTTTTGATGTTTTTAGGCAGTCAGAAAGATACTACAGGGAGAGAATCTGTAACTAAAATTGAATTAATCTACGACATTGTGCGCTAGCTTCTTGGCATTCGTGTGGAAGAAAAGATGACTACGGACTACAGCAAACATGAACTAAATTGTGCTGTGCCAGTAGCTCCATCAATCTCTATATAGACTGCAGGGTGACTACTTTCTTTAAGAACACTTTGACGCATTTGGGTCTAAGCCTGCACCATATGCCTATTCGGGGAACTGGGAAGTCGGAGCATGCCAACAAAGATGGCAGAAGAACTTCCATAATTCTGATATTCACCTGGGTTTCAAAACATTCGTCCAACATCCAGAATCCTATACTAGATATTCTGCAAAGAGCTAAAAAAGCATCATGACATAGGCATTTAAACATAAAGATTTTTCAATTACAATATTCCTTATATTTTAAGTCAACCTTAATTAACAACAAAATTATAATGATTAATTAAGTTATGATTGGGTCCTAATTTACATTACACACCCCTTGAAAAAAAAAAACAAGAGAGAGAGAGAGAGAGAGAGAGAGAGAGAGAAACGGATAAAATTTGTGTGCTTCGCATGTCAAATATAGAGTGCCTGCACACGAATGCAGAACATGTTATAGCTACCTTATATCCAATTTCGAATCTGCTGCTCCAAGCATACAGATAAACCTGCTCGGACAATGTCTCATATCAAACAAGGAAGTTGCCCATCTCAAAGCACAAAAGCGTACTTCACTTTGTTCCTTGAGAGATAAAGAGCAGAGTGTCACGCTTATAATATTTTGAAAAAATAATGAACCACATCAAACTTAAACTTAGCACTCAAAAGCAGTAAAAAGAAACAAAAGAATGTGGTAAATCACTGTAACGCTGTCCAAGAGACTATAGCTCCACATACCACTTGAGAGTTTTGTAAGAGAATCAACTCCACATCCTTTAACACCTGTTTGGGGGCATCCTGCGACTCAAAGCAAGTCACCATCAAACCAGAAGTTAAGACTCAGCCAAAAAAAATAGAATTAAAAATAAAAAGAGGAGATAATAGTATAATACCTTATAAGCAACAGCAAGAGAATTTGTCGCTTCTTGAACAATCAGGCGGAGATTCTGCCCCTCAAGCTTCAGTGCATCAAAGAGTCGAACAGCAACATCAGTTTTAGCCCTAAGGATGAGAATAGAACCACTCATCACTAGTAACAAGGCAGAAAAACTAGCCAGTAGTGCATGAAGAATCTGGAGAAAAGTTACCTAAAGAGTTGTGGCATGCGTTGTGCAAGCAACCCAATTGCTTGATAACAGAAGCTTCTAGTCTCCCTAGCTATGGCATCTGGAGGCATGTCATGATGATAATCTATTAGAGACCGGTCACTGCTGTTTGCTGCTTTGTTTGACTTACCTTGTATATCTAATGTACTTAATTTACTAGTTTGGGCGGAAAGAAGTTCTATTATTGTGGGCCTTGCCCCATTAATAGCAGCAGGCATGTAAGTAAGCTTTTAACATGAATGACCGTTACTAATATTTGATAACTTTTGTTGGCTTAAAGCTGGTCACCGTCATAATGTAAATTGTCGCACTCTGGTTTATTGAAATCTTAATACAATATGATGCATATTGTTGCATTGCTTTGTATAGCCTCGACTCAAAAATACCCAATATGGAGGAGAATCAACATGTAATTCTATATATTTTGCCACTGCAGGAGACTCTTAATTCTGGAACAGCTATAGTGTAACTGACCTGAATCCTGGGAGGAGAAATTATCAAGCGTTTTTAAAATTCCAGTAAGTATAACAGGGCCCATAAGCTTCAATTGTTCCATTTTCGCCTGCACAAGCGAAGAAAACAAAATAGGGTGGATCATGTTGTGGACTGTAGTATTGCCTACGAGATATGCCAAAAAGTATCATATACTGATTCACTAGTTGGCATGGTGAAATGAACCGGAAATCAATTCATCTGTCCTCCTTTGTGAAACACAATTTTCCACACATTTCATCTTTTTACATAACATAGAAATCACACTTGGAAAGGGTGGACAAATATAGAAATGATCTTTCCCTCACGTCAGCTTCAGGTCTGTAAGAGATATATGCATTCTTTAAAAAATCCTAGCTTCGATTAAGAAAAGTTGAAATAGTTGAATTAACTTTTGAAACATGGTGAACAAAATAGGAACTTCTGGAGAAAGAGACTGTTACAATCAACCATACTATTATGAACCAATATACCATTAGCCCTTCCCTTTTTTGTTTCTTTTTTCTTGATAGGTAAAAATATATCCTCTTGATGCGTTCTTAATTAATGAATACCCATATGAGAAGTAATTACAACCATCAACCCAAACTACAATAAACTTACATGTTTAAAGACCCAAACTGTAAATTCCATCCCCAACTGCTTCAACCTGGAGGTGGCATCAACTCCTGAATCAGCACAGTATGAGCATTTAAAAAAAAAAAAAAAAAAAAAAAAAAAAAAAAAAAAAAAAAAAAAAAGGAAAAAATACAGGTTTTAAAGAGGCCTTAAATTCCAACAAAGCATAAGGTTTATTAATATATAGATTGGGAGCCATACTTAGAACACCGTTAGGCTTTCGCTATTGGTCATAAAATGTTATTTCTGTTTTAATCAAAATAAAGTAATTAGATTCAAGCATTCCTGATAACCACACATATCGCTCCGTAGAATATGGCATAGCAGTTCCAGACCATAGTTCCCAAAATGATTACAATGCTAAAGTGACAAAGGAAAAAGCTTGTACATGAAGTAACTTCACACATCTGGTTCCAGGGGGACAGGCGGACAACAAAGGTTGGTTATCTAACTTGTAGGTTAATCTACCAGGACTCAAAATATAGTAAATCTGGCTTTATAGTTACACATTTAATATGGAGGAATCTTTCTGCATGGGTGTTCCTAGCGCGCGCGCACACACACACACACATGTGTGTGTGTGTGTGTGTTTGACCCTATTAAAGTTAAGGTGAGCCAGAAAATGTTAGCTTTAGAACATTAGAAAAACAAGATTCAAAGAAATAGGATGCAATGTTTTCATCTTACCAAATATGCACCCAAAAATGCACTGCAAAGTTGATGGGAAACTGTTTGCCGCAGTAATCGATCGGGAGAAAATAGACATCAGCCTCATTCTCAGAGTTAAACTTCCAGGATTTACTTTTAGTTCTGGAGTAACGCTTTCAGAGCCAGCAGTTCCTACATATAAAAAAAGACTCATTTTTATATTACAATGCTTACATTTCTGCACCAGAGGAGAAGCAAAGACTGCTATATAAATTGATGTAGTGAATGTAAAATGCCATTCTAGCATATCGCAAGAAGACTACTTTTATCCAATTCCACTAATTTAATCTTCAATAATCATCAAATCTAAATTAGAATCACAATCAACTTCAGTCCTAAAATAGTAGATGCTACATACCATTAAATAATAGAAATAGTCTGCCAATCAGTGTCTGATCCTCTAAATCCACACGAGATGTATTCTTCTTCAAGAGCTCCTCCCCCTTTTTGAGAACAGATTCATGACTGGAGAACACAAACTCAATAAACACGTAATATAAAAATTTGGAAGGCGTCCAAAGTTGACTAGTATAGTTGTATATGAAATATACAGAACGTAAGTTCGTTGGACCTGTCAGCACAAGCAGCAATATATATGGGATGAACAGATTCAGGAGGAAGCTCCAGAGCTTCAATGATGTTCAGTATTCCGGACTGCAGAATAGAAATAAATAAAAAGTACCCACCAAAAACATAATGATTACTCATGAACATTCTATGCAAGGTCCAAAACAAATGTCACATTTATTGAAAAAATGAACACACAATAATATAAAAAAAAATACATATTTCATGCTTCTATGGATCATACCTTTCTGTTGCATAGCACATCACTGCTCACTGCATGTTTTCCAGTAACACGTTCAGTTTGATAAGTTGAAAGCCCAGCTGGGGGTCTTCCACTGCAAAGACAGATTTCGTTGTTACCTCTCCGAGATAGAATTCAAATTGCAATCAAATCATATGATAAAATGGATCAAGCAATATGAACCAGACTATACTCTAACCTCTGAGAGGAGGATGGCTGATACAAAATTGCATGAAGACAAAATTCCAGAAATATCTCGCAGTCTTTAGACCCAACTAATTGCTTATACTTTTCCAGCACTTCATTTCCAACTTGAGATGCATGGCACTCACCAATTACCTAAATCCAAGGGCGTTATTGGAGTCAGTCCCTGCAACAACTTAAGAGAGGCCAACAAAATTTTATGTGGCTGGCTATAAACAGGTATAATGTTCCCCAAGGGCCCTTTTATGAGATGACGGTTTCTAGACACAACCACCTTGCAAAAATTTTAGGTTATATTTCCAATTCCATAAATGTACTCAAAAACTATATAAGGATCACCATCAAGCCCTAATTATAAACTTCATCGAAAATGAAATAATTACAACGTAGCAGGCATGTATTAACTAGCAGAATTCATGTCTATCCCCCTAACTTCTTTTATACAAAATTGTATTCAGCTAAAGGAATCCAAGTTTACATGAAGACGCGTAGAAGTAGGACAAAGAGGAACAAGAATAGATGAAATGAAGCAGGAACCCAAATACAAAGGGAGAACTAAAATGAAGTGCTTAACTAGTACATGTGAAATTGTGGGTTTAGAAAATCAATGGAAATTGAAAGCTCTACTATCTTCAAGAGCAAACAACACTTAAGTGTCGTCAAGCTCTTAGCTATCTGGTAGTTTGATCCACGATAATCACATGCACTTTGCAACCTATATATTCAAAGTGCAAGCTTGGGGAAATACTGCTTGGTGCAGCTGTTCATACCACAAAGAGAAGACAAGAAAGTTTGTTATTTTACCCTGAAGTTCATAATTTATCATAATTGCACATTAAATTCAACATTTTTCTCTTAAATTTGAATATCTTTGTTTACTTATATTGTCCCATTCTTTTCTCTATTTTAATGTCTTCAAATAGTACATTTAATGACTGTCAAGCACATGGAAAATCCGTTTAATCGTAGAATTATAGAAATGATATACACTTGTGGTGTTCCTAGATTAATATGTCTACTGAAGACGCCACAAGAGCAGATTCTACACTGAGACCTCATTGACTTCTTCCACATTTATATCTAAACAAAACTCAAAGTATTTCCGATTTCATGTTGAATTTCTTATTAAATTTGGACTTCAATAGATAATCTTGGCTGATGCTTCTCGAGGTATAACTATACTTCTTGACAAGTGTAATGGTAATTATACAAGTTGACCAAGAGCCAGAAAGAGATAGCCAGCAGAATCATTGTAGATGTAGAAAGGTTTTCAAGAATCAGACTCACAGGTACCTCACAAGAATATATCAAAATAAAATTGTAAAGGTTACCTTTAATACAATTCTGAGTAATATATCTTGATGTTGAAGAGGGATCTTCGAAATGTTGGCTAGAAAGACGGGAGCTAATAATTGTTTCTCCTGCAGTATCATCCCAGTGCCAAGTGGAAGATGTTTACTTACAAAGGTGAACTAATAATTAAGAAAATAAAAAATTGCGAGATTAGACCTATAGAAGTGGGAAGTTAAAATTTAAGTCCAATTATTTTATTGGAAAAATTAGACCCAAGTGTTGGTTTCATGCAAATAAGGTCCAGCCGTTAGTAAAACCATTAGTCACAAAGGGACCTTGTTTGCATCTTTTAAACCAGTTTGTCTTAAACGGACCTGCTTTTGTAACTCAATCAATCGCATAGGATCAATTCTGAACCGTCCCACTAAAATTAGTCTTAACAATCATTCCATCAGCTTATGAAGTTAAAATCTTATGTTTTCACTAATTAGCAGGCCTCATATCAACAAAGTATTGATGTCATATCGAGTTGCTTTGCTTAAATTTATATGTTGTACTCAAAATTGGCACCAAAAGATTGGCTGTCGCAAATTTGGTCCCACAACGTCCACCACTCCACCTGTAATTTCATTGTTAATCTTTGGAACAGCGTATGGCCGTATTTGCAACAACGAGAGGTGTTATTCTTAAAACAATTATTACGGCCAAATAGACATTTTATAGGACTACCTTTGCAATTCGGTTAATCCTATAGGACCGATCTTGCAACTTTCTCACTAACAAATATATACCTCTACATGCACTCGATCAGTCGCCATCTCAATGTATACGATGCAGAAGTTCCTAACCATAGGAGCAGAACCAGATTCCACGTACAATTGCCATAGGTCAGATAAAGGCAGACCAATTGCTTGTTGGTGTTTCACTCTCTTGTTCACATGACTCAGGATTTCAATAACCTAAACATGGAAGTAAAATTCAAATCTTAGGAAAGAGCATCTAACAAGCCAAGAAATATGAAGGGATATAAGCATGGAAGTAAGATTCAAATCTTAGGAATGAGCACTAACGAGCCATATGAATAACATTTGATCCCAACATCTTCGATTAGACTTTAAAAATAAAATAAAAATAACAGAGATGAAAAGGGGCTCAATTGAACCGTTTGCAGCATGCTAACAGTTAGACTCATCAACAGTAACTTCACACGATCAATTCAAACAAAATAATTTTTAAAAAATAGCAGCAAGTTCGATTGCTATGCCCTAATACATCCAAAATTGAACTTGCGAGAAAAAATGGTGGTGCTAGAATGACCCAAAACACATAAGAAAATCAAGCATAACAGTTCAAAATTCGCTGCAAAAAATTACTTTATTTCGTAGAGAGGTTGAGGCAGCTGCGAGCGCGGCAATGGAGAGAGGGAGAATCCTTGCGAGCAAGTCCTGAAGCTTGGAGTCGTCGCATAGTGCCAATCGAGTCAACATTCTGTCCAGAAGCTCCTCTTTCTCCTCATCGGACTTTCCATCTAGCGCCGACGACCAGGAGCGGGCGGCGGAGGTGGAGGACCCAGCCATGGTTCTTTGCTTCCCGGTGGCCGACTGTGTTCTGGTAGTGTTTCTCCTCTGTTTGCTGTTTCGGTTGTTCTTTTCTTGAGAAAGAAGTAGATGTAAACAAATTGTATTCGTTTGGGCCTCATTTGTTGCCACCGAAAGGACACAATTGGGCCCATAATTGTGGCCCAACTCGCTGTTTGATCCCACCGAAAGCGGCCCGCAAGATTGTCTGTGGCCCGCGACTTAGGGGTGATTGTTTACAAAATATTTTTCCTCAAATATTTTCAACTCAAAATCTAACTCAACTTCACTATCTTTAATATTATTAATATAATTAAATAATACAAACCAATCATTCTTACACATCACATCAACTTTAGTTCACTATTCATCCACTCACATAATTTTAACTACCAATCATTTCCAATCATTTATCTCCTACTTTATATCAAATCAATTTTGATTATTTTATTTTAAATATTATCTTAATATATTTTTTAAATCCCACTAATAATTAACCACACTACTTTTTCAACTTTAACCATAGTTAACCAAAATGAAATATTTTGGATGAAATATTTTATAAACAATCATGCCCTTAATCTCCAGAAATCGGGATCAGGCGTATCCAGGACAAATGGATCTGGGTGAGGAGGCCTAGACATAAAGTGGTTGCTTGGATAAAAATTCATCCAAAAAATTCAATCATTTTTAATTCAATCGTTGGGGAGTTGACTGATCTCCCGTGGGGAGTTGGATTTTTCTCCCGTGGGGAGGTGGTTTTCTTTTGTGTATTAGTGTTTGTGAGTGAGTTGTGATTGTGTGGTTGATGTAGGCCATACCATGTGTATGGTTCTCTCTGTATGTCTCTGTTGTTTTTATTTGTGATTTATGAGAATTATCTATCGTTTGGGAAAAAAAATCAATCATTTTTTTTAACACAACTTTAACTCAACCTCATTATTATCAATATTATCAATATAATTAAATAATATCAATCAATCATTCTTATACACCACATCAACTTCAATTCAATATTCATCCTCTCACATTATTTTAATTAACCATCACACTACATTTTCTCTCTCATACTTTTGTCAAATTAATTTTAATCATTTTATTTTAAATATTATTTTAACATACATATTAACAACTAATCATACCAACTTTTTCAAATTTAACCAACTCAAACAAAAAAAAAATTCAATCAAAACCAAAACTTTTTATATCCAAGAATCCTAAATAGTGCATTGAATATTGATTGACAATTTTATCCTTTAATTTATGATTTTTTTACCATCAGACTATTTTCAGACATAACATTTTCATTTATGTCATCTACTTAACCTCACTACACATCTACCTGCCATTACATTCTCACTCTTGGTAAGTCTCCATCACTGCTCATCTCTCTGGGAGGAAGGTTATGCTACAAGGGTTGGCGAAGGTATTGTGGTTTTTT